CCTCTCTCTCTCTCTCTCTCTTACACACACACACACACACACACACACACACACACACACACACACACAAACACACACAGAGCAATCATGAAATCCATGTGTCCATTGCAGCCGCTGACAGACACTCACATGGTTGGATAGAAAGAATGGGTGTGTGCAGCTTACATATTATTATAATATCATTATTTTTCTTTTTGACTGTTATTTGAGAGGAGCGGGCGGTCACGCTGTACTTCAGTTTTTTTTTTTTTTTTGGGGGGGGGGCAATTCTTGCAAATGGGAGGTAGAACGTGTCCTCCTCCTCCTCTTCCTCCTCCGTTTCCTGGTTTTCCTCCTGAGGCTCTTGCAGAGCCCCTTTTCATTTCTATGATGACTACTGCTGCTACTGCTGGTAGCGATTTGCATCGTACATCGTTCGATTCTTCCGAGTGTCCCGGCAAACGACACGTGGATGCTGACGTGGATGCTTGTCAGCGATCATCCAGTTGTGAGCAGACCTGGCAGGCCATCAGCGGAGCAGCAGCCTCAGATCGGATCCTGGCTGCCCCCTCACCTAGTGAGCTTGGTTACGCTAAGCGTTGTGGATTGCGTCGTGGCTGCCACGTGGACGACTCCCGTTTTGGCGGGAGTGATGACACCCTCGTTGCCCGTTGCCACGTGGCACCAACAGTGCAAGAATGGCGGGAAATGATTCCAAAATGGCGGGAAATGATTCCAAAATGGCAGGAAATCCTTCTGATTGACCCGCCTTTCGTGGACTTGTACACCGAGACTGGTTTTGAGCGTCTTCCGGATAAGCAGGCTTATGCTTACGTGGCAAGTTTTCCGTACATGGCCAAGCAACTTTTGGCGGGATGGAAGGGCAAGAATCTGTCAGCGACCATCGCCGGCAAAATCGACGTGGAGGGCAAAAAACGGTCAAACGTTGACTCGACGTCCACGTGCTGGGAGAATTTCCTCGATCTTGTCGCCTTATCTCTCGAGGATAAAAGGTTGTCGCTGGCGGAGATTTTCGTTGACTACAACGCGGCTTGCCAGATCTCGCCCGATCTGCGGCGGAGAGGGACGCATGAGACCTCCTGCTTACGTGGATGGATAAGCTTGATCCTCGAAAATTTGGCGGGAAATGTGGCGGCCAATCAGTCCTTGAAGCGTCTGGTCATCCACATGCCGTGGGATTTTCACATGGTGGACAGCGATTGTCTGACGTCGATTTGTCGTTATCTGAGTCACGATTACTGCAGGCTTCGACACCTGGATCTGGGGGACAGCGTGTCGAGGACAAGCGATTTGGCGGGAGATTGCGTGGTCGGGATCTTGGCCCACGCGCACTCGCTCAGAACCTTGCGGATAGACAGGTGGGACCTCGTCGCGGATGGTTCATTCCCCCTGCTCCAGTTTCTGGCCACTCACAGCAGAGGCCTGCTGGAGTCAATCCTGTACGGAACCAAGTTATCGTCCAAGTTTCCATGGAAGATCGGGATCCCATCACAGAAAACTGCACAGCAGAAGATGGAACATGGAAACGAGGCGAGGAGGACAGACGGTAACAAGCAACAGCATCAGCCGCGGCTGCAGCCGCAGAAGAAACAGCAGCAGCAGGAGGAGGAGGAGGAGGAGGAGAAGGAGAAGGGAACCGCGATTCCGATCACAACGGTGAGATCGAATGGGATCGCGTCAGCGACGACCGATGCGACGACACTGGATCGGGATACCACTTCCGGTTCCGATCAGCAGCAGCAGCAGCGGCAACAACAACAGCAACAGCAGGAGCAGGAGCAGGAGATGGGAGATGATGATAACACGATAATTGGGAATGGGCTTGGGATCCCGATTGCAGATTTGGTACGGATCACAATCCCAGTGGGGCAACAGAGCATGACCATGTTGACGTCAGCACAGCATTCGGGCGGACAACGGAAGCAGCAGCAGGGAAAGGACATCGTCGCCAAGGAGGGACTCCGACGATGGCTGCTAATTCCGTCTCTGACGCTGAAAGGCGAAGGGGAATTGAAATCCGAGCTCATCGAAATGCGAGTTGAGAAGCAGCAGCAGCAGCAGCAGCAGGAGAAGGAGGAGGAGGAGGAGCAGACGAAGGAGCAGGCCAGAGCAGACGGAGGAACAGGCCGGAGCAGACCCGCTCCCGACGAATGGGACCACCGTATCCAACACTACAGGGTGCAAAAGCTGACCCAGCTTATTAATATGTACCGTGAGGCCCTTTTTAACCCTTTCATGATCGGCCTGGAATACCCTCCCGGTGCCTGTCGATGGGTCAGCGGCGATGACACGTTGTTGGCGTCACCAGTGCAAGGCTGGGCCCAGAGGAGGGGGATGAAACCAGGCCGCCCAGGTGCGGATGTATCCTTTCCGGAGCTGTCTGGCTCTCTGCCTGGTTCTAACTGTCCCAGTCCCAACTCTTCTGGTCCTGATTCTGCCAGTCGGGACTCTTCCGATCCCGGTTCGTCCGGTGATGCGTTAGGATCTGATCCTGCTTCCGGTTCTGGTTCTGGTTCTGGTCCTGAATTTGGGTCTGGTTCTGGTCCTGAATTTGGGTCTGGTTCTGGTTCTCGTCCTGGTCCTGGTTCCGGTTCGGTTCCTCTTCATCGCGGTCCTAATTCTGTTCCGGGTCCTTGTGTTTCGGACCGTGGATCTCCATCTGTTCCTGGTTCTGGTCCTGGTTCTGCTCGTGGCTCTGCTCCTCGCTCTACCCCCGGTTCTGCACCTGGTTCTGCTCCTGGTTCTGGTTCTCGTGCCCTTTCTTCCACTCCCGTTCCTGGTCCTGTTCCTGGTCCTTGTGCATCTGACAACGGATCTTCATCTGGTTCTGGTTCTGCTCGTGGCTCTGCTCCTAGCTCTACCCCTGGTTCTGCTCCTGGTTCTGGTTCTCGAGCTCTTTCTTCCCCTCCYGTTCCTGGTCCTGTTCCTGGTCCTTGTGCATCTGACAGCGGATCTTCATCTGGTCCTGTTTCTGCTTCTGAGGCGGATCTATCAATGCCGAGGTTGGTCTTTGGCAGTCTTCGCGATGGAACTCTCGTTAAGGAAGAAGGACAAATCTTGGGTGGCATGCTTGTCGTGGACAACAGTCTAAAAGCCCTCGACATCCGAACACCGTTGTCCGCCGATGGCTTGCAGCATATCTTCCTTGGATTATCGCGCAACACGTGTCTCGAAGAACTGAGGGTCAATTTCCCATCGTCAAGATTGACGTCAAGATCGACGTCACAGATCGTGGATTACATTGTGCTGTGCATGAGTACCAACTCGACGTTGAAGCTTTTGTCGTTTTACGAGTCTGACGAGGTGCGATCGGGACTGCTACCGTTGATTAAAAAAATGAGGAAAAGTTTTTTTGGCGCGCTGCGGAAAAAATTAACGGGTCAGAACCGGTGGATGAAAGTGGAAAAGGCAAATTTTGGCGGGAAAGGGGTTCCGCCGCCGCCGCCGAAAATTGGCGGGAAAATTTCAAATGTCAGGGAAATGACGAGTGGGAACCTACCGGCCACTCAGAGTCCGACAGATGCTAATCAACTCAGACGTTTAGACGCCTTGTCTGTCCCACAGATTGACGATAACGACGATTGGTTAATCGCAAGGAAGAGCAGGAGCAGGAGCAGCAGGACGAGCCGCAGGACGAGCAGCAGGAGCAGCAGCAGCATAGATGTAGCAGGAAGGCATGCTAGGTGTTTCTTGATAGGTGATCCTGCTGCCGGGAAAACGACGTTGAAGAAGTCAATCCGACGTGGCATCACGGGAAGGAGGAGCGGCGACGGCGGCGGCGATGGCGGCGATGTCGGGAGGAGCAGCGGCGGCTTAATTAGTAGTGTAATCTCGTCATGGAGACGTCATCTTCCCGCCAAAATTGCTGCTGCTGCTGACGTGGACGCTGTCCACAGGGGAGGCAGCGGTTATCGATTGACGAAAAGCTGGGAGGGCGCATCGGTGAGTGTCGATGTTATCTCTACGACGATAGGTCCGGATCCCGACCAGGCGTCCTCCGGCCTGGTCTCCTCGATCCCGACCGCCTCGAAAAGGAAAAGCTATCCCCCCACCCCGGCGGAGGAGGAGGAGGAGGAGGAGGAGGAGGAGGAGGAGGAGGAGTCGCCGTTGTCATCGGGATCGCCACCGCCGACGAAATGCTCGGCGTCAATTCAGCTCTGGGATTTTGGCGGGAAAGAAGGCGTTGGGGATGAGGAAGAAGATTATCTGATTCGTGATGTCATACTGCCGACACGTGGCAGCGGATGCGGCAATGATGGTATTTGCGTATCGCCCATTTTCTTGCTGATGTGTAATCCTTTCGAAACGTCACCCATCGATGGTGCTTCTCGTCATTCCAACCGTCCACCTCATCAGGCCAATCATCATCCTCCTCCTCATCCTCATCATCCTCGTCGTCATCATGATCATCATAACCAGCATCAACAGAGCCCTTCGTCCGCTGCAGCGATGGAGACAACGAAGGAGAGAGTGAAAAAGTGGTTGACATTCATTGCATCTACTGCTAGCTCTCAGACTGCCACGTGCAAGCCTCATGTTCTCCTTATCCTTAATCCTTATCTTCCGGATGATAAGGATAGATTGGCAATTACTCCATCGCCAGAGTGGCGTCCGAGCGCCGAGAAGTTGTGGGATGACATGTCGGAGGAGTTTGGTAATGAGCTAGATCTATCTGTTGACGTCATCACCCTTGACGCCAGGAGCATCATCGATGTTCAGGAGAAGGTTCTCAGAACTATCTTCGATTACATCCGGCGATCGCCGTGCAGCAGCCACAAGCCGAAACCGGTGTTGTTGTCATCATCATCGCCTAGCTTATCCTTAGCCTCATCCTCGTCAGGCCATTCATCATCTCAATCATCTCAATCATCGTCATCCCTGAACGTCCCTGAGATGCCGCTGCGAAAGCAACCCCAAGCCGTGATGGTGGATTCAGTATCGTGTGCCTCACCCGCTTGGTCATCACCCTCGCTATCTCGACGGTCCTTCTCATCCTCATCGGGATCATGCCACGTGGCAGCACCACCACGCTCATCGTCCTCCTCGCGGTCGTCATCGCGGTCGTCGTCTTCGTTCGGTTCGTCTTCGTTCTCATCATGGGGATCCCAACTACAAGAAGCTCAAATGCTTGACGACCCTTCTTCCCACGTGGCAGCACCGCCACCGTCTGTGGGAACCACCTGTGACGGACAGCAACTGCTTGAAGAATTGGATGAACAAGGATTGCCCCTGACTTCTTGCCACGTGGCAGCACCACCACCGTCTGTGGGGACCACCTGTGGCGGACAGCAGCTGCTTGAAGAATCGGATGAACAAGGATTGCTCCTGGAAAGACAGAAGGATGGAGGAACATTGACGGATGAAAGTGCGGTAGGAGGAGGAGGAGGAGGAGGAGGAGGAGGAGGAGGAGATGACGTGACAGCCTCTGGGGAGCAGCAGGAATTGATATCTTTGCTGCGGGAAAGAGGGCTGCTGGAATGGTGCCTGCAGCAGGTCTCGAATCTCTCGATATTTCTGGAGGAAAGAAGAAGGTTCCTGTATCTGGACGAGGATAGAGACAGATTCATGCGGAGGGGTGGGCAACGAGAGAGAGCAGAAGAAGAAGGTGCAGCGTCTTTGGACACGCGTCTTGAAGAAGGAAAGTTCACTGAGGCTTCAGGTGATAGATCGGGCGCTGCAGCCGCTGGATTCGAGGCAGCGGCAGCGGAAAACGAAACTGGGGGGAACAACAGGATGGAAGATGAAAGGAGGGGAAAGTACGATGAAAGTTCAGCCGAAAGATCACCCGTGGAACGGCAACGCACCACCACAGAACTGCTGAGACGACTCGTGGAAAGTTGTCTTGATGGGAAACTGCCCGACATTTCCGAAGACAGCCTCGGTGCCCTGGGCTTATCTGAGGAGGATGGAAAGTACAACGAAAGTCCATCGAAACTTCGGACGAAATCTCTTCTCCTGTTGCGAGACGTGCACTCCGAAGTGATCAGGTGGAAGGCGGCAAACCCACACGTGTCAGTCGTCAGTTGGGAACAGTTCTGCAGAGTCTGCAGCAAATCGCAGGCGCTCGATTGTTTCCTCCGACGGTTCGCTGCATTGCATACTCTTGCCTGTCAACGTTTGCCCCCTGCTGATCCTAAAAATAGTTTGGATAAGGTTGTGGATAAGGTTGTTACAGATAGGGCAGATGACGGAAAGGCGCCCCCTTGTGATTCTGATTCTTCTGGCGATAATAACTATTATTATCATAATGCTAATCCTACAGAGATGGATGTGGATAAAGCGACTACCGAGTCAACCCATCATCATCATCGTCGTGGAGATGGTACAGTGGATCCCGCCGATCAGACGCAGCAGGGGCATGACACGTGGCTGATGATGACGTGGTTGATGACATTGAGGTTGACGACATGGATGACGACTTCCATAGCTGGCTACCTTCACGACGTGGGGGAGATAATCCATCATCCTGCCTTGCCCTATGTTGTGATGAATCCACCTCTTATCCATAACTGGATAAAGGGAAAGTTAAATTACCTAGCAGATATGAAGCAGCTGCTAGCACCTGAGGAGAACCTCGGAGACTTTGTCTCTAAGATATTGCCTCAGAGTCCTTACGGTAATGATACGATCTACGTACACCCTCCATGTGGCGGCGGTGATCTTGCAGATTTGTCCACTGCGGTTGTTAAGCAGCACTTTGCCGTAACGATGCTAAAAATAGCCTTGGGATTGATTACACCCCCTCCTCCTCCGCCGCCTCCTCCACCTCCGCCTCCTCCTCCTCCTCCGCCGTCGCCTCCTCCTCGTCTGCCGCCACCTCCTCCACTGCCGCCACGAGCAACAACAACGACAACCATGGGAAGAGGAGGACCCATTACAACTACTGCCCACTGTACTGATGAGCAAGCAAGGATGTCAGTTGCAGCTCACGCGTCATCGAAGACATCATCATTATCCTCTGTTATTCATTCGCACACAGGGGAATCCGATGGGGATCCCGATCTCAAGGAAGGCAATGTCTGGACATCTGGATTGGAATCCCAGTCCCAATCCCAATCCCAATCATCAAAGGCCGCGGCCACTTTGGCTACTCCATCTGCTTCGTCGCGATCGTTTGCATTGTCAGTGTCATCACCATCTTGTCCACCATCACTATGTCGGGCATCGCTATGGCCACCGTCGCCATGTTCGCCATTGTCATTTCCGCCATTGCCATGGCCATTGCTCGAATCACAATCATCATCATCATCACCGTCGATGCTATTGCCATATGTAACAGCAATGTCTGCGGCCAGGAAGTTCACGATGATGTTAGAGATGGAGCCAAAGCTGACGCCAAAGGGGAAGATGACGAAAGAGGAGGTGGTAAAAAGAACTCGACGTTCTGAGAGAAGATTGTTGGTAGGATGAGTCTGATCCCCCTACCCCCTACCATGC